TTGGTTAAAGTCCGCACTCGTATTTTGCATCGAATCACGAGTCATATCGCGATTGGTCTACTCTTTCGAGAGCCTGGTTTTCAATTTTGCATCTGTTACGTAGCGGTAGCTGATGAGCGGCAGGAGATCTGTGCGATTTTCTTTAAAACAGTTGCAGAAGTTGCGCATCTCAGATTGTCGGTTTTCGCGCCTTGGCAATGACTTTGTCTGCTTTGTACATCATTTGAAATAAAGCTTATTTCTGGATGTGACAGGTTTATCGTTAATTAAAGCGGCGAAGAGTTTAAGTTTCCACAATGATTGAGTCACAAAATGTGATGGGCTGAGAAGAATTCACTGGAGACAAAGAAATGAAGATTTGAGCACATAATTACCTTACGGGCTTTTCAAAAGTTACCGTCTCACCAATGTGTTTATGTGCGTTGATGATAATTTTTGATGGATCAAATTTTACAGTGAGGTTATTCAGTCGTCTTACAGGCGGGTCTTTCTCTTCATAGTCGAAAGATACAGCAGCGCAAGCTATTCTGCTTCGATACAGGCTTTCAAACGACGTTAAGTTGTAAACTCGCGTCCTCTGGGTGACCTGGTGGAAGTTTCAACCAGAATATATTCACAGATTTCAGTGTTTGTGAAGATTTCTTTTGAGATATCAATTTGTTACATCCAAGAAAGAAAGAGTGACTTTTCAAATGGTGAACTGGAGCCCATATCAGCATGACTGTATCTGTATGCAAAGATAACTGTGGTATAGTCACCGTGCCTCGCCATTGTCGATAAAGGACAGCAAGTGTAGTAAAGTTTTGACTGAGGAAAGGTCTCTTCTTGTTAGTACAAAAATCCTTAGCACGTTGCTGTAGAAGCAAGCCTGTGTTGATCTGGCGGTCGGAAATTATAATCCAAGCTATTTACTGCATTTCCTTTGAAGGCAGAAAAGATTTTGCAATATTTAGATCTCCCAGACGATTTCAATATTATCTGAAATATAGCGGGTGATTATTGGCGGTCTGGATAATTGGCAAGTCCGTTTTTTAACGAAGATTCGGTGGTTTGAATACAAAAAAAGAACGTCGTTTCGAAGCTGTTTGAAACTGAGACAGTATATGACACGCATGGTTACATTGCAGATCAAGGCCTAGCTCATTTCAGACAATGGATTTGTCAATGCACGGGACGTTTTTGTCCCCAAGTTGTGATGTCGTTGTTCGATGCATGATTCAACCAAAACATGTGCCGAGAAAATACAAAAGGTGTGTATTAAAAAACATATCTTCTTCAGCAATATAACTTTCTCCTACTAGTTCCTTTATTTACAAACGCTTGGAAACGTCCCGGAAGTCAGATTCATCATATTAAGTGATATTCTTGTATGACATCAGTGTAAGGCCTTAATTAACAACAGTAACCACGCTTATCTGCTGTCTAAGCAGATTAATGTGCAACTTAAGTAATGCCATAGTTGCTGCGCGGCCTGCCAAGAATACTTTTCACTTGAGTTAAACGACAGGTGCGCGTGAAATTTCTTGCCTCGCTATTTATCTGCCATGCCTATCACTTTTACACCAACGCCGAATCTTCTTGCCCAATGAAACTGCCTTCTTTTGGCAGGCTATCATTTTTGCGTTTTCTGGTCTTTGAAGAATCGTTTTTTGGACATGTAATGCAACCTGTTGCTTATATTTAAATTTTACCTATTTGCCAAAGCAGTATCATGAATCAATAATATTCTAATTGAAATTACACTTTTTTCGTAGGATCGATTTAATATCCTGCATTGCACTTCAGAGTTCTGTCTACTCTTGTTGTAAATTGATGCCGCTGTCAGGCCGACATAATACATTTCCCGATAAATATTAATAGCCAGGCTTTGGAAACGTCGCTTTAAGGCACTTTACCTTTCTAACACTGCCAGGTATAAGCCTATCATTTAAGCGACTTTGCTCTTAAAACCAGCTGCATGTTGCTGCTTAGGCAGGCATACAGTCAAACTAGTCTCATAGATTCCCATAAGTGCGTCCTCAAGCTGCCGCTAGCTCTTTAACAGTGATGTTCCTTATTCATTACATTAATATCGCATTCTCGAAACTATCCCCAAAAATCAATAAGGAAGGAAACAACTCACCAAACGCATTAATAATTGTTATTGTTGCTAATTGGTTGAAATAATTTCCATTTAAATACAAGAAATCCACTCTATTTAACGAACTGAATTACAGTTTAAAGAAAGATAAGTTTAACCACTTGGCCACTATTTCTTTACAGTTAATGCTTCAACAATGGAGTCTTGTGTTGAAATAGTCTAAAGTCGAACCATCAGTTGTGTGTCAGTATTGTTAAGAGAATCTGCTATCGCTTTATTGTCTCCTTATTATTTTATTCAATTTATTACTTTCAGCTTAATACATTCCTAGTCATGATTAACGCAAGCAACATCCAAAATTATTTTTCTCTTATTATCATTCCAGTCCTGAAGTGTTTTTTACGCGGTCGAATATTTTTCCTATCAGTTGTGTTTGACTGTTTCCCCGTTTGCCTGTCCTTTCTTTCTCTTGAGCCCTCTTCAATCAGCCTGGTTTGCTACCAAATTTATCATTTTTCTCAATTGAGCTGTAGATAACGTCTAATTTACTGATGCTTTAGGTTTCTGAGAAAGCCTTTGTGTTGTTCTGTCGTTTTATTTTCTGAACTAGGCACCAAAAATTCTGAATAGGTTAAATTTTATCATTTGGACATTTCTACCCCTTTTTTCTCTTTCTTTCCAACCCTTTCTTGTGTTCTTATTTCTCTACCACCAATCTTTTCTATATCACTTTTCCATCACTTTATCAGCTCCCCCTGTTCCCTTTATTTCCCCTTCGTCTCCTCACCCCATTCCATTTTTCTCTTCCTCATCAACTTTGATTATTCAAGACACCTGCTTAGATGCGTGCTTTTTAGGCCACGTCACTTTTGAAACCGTTCAAGGCACCGTGGCTTTTCAGACATGCGTGGTTTCATTTGCAGTTAAATGCGTTCATGTTAGATTTGGTTCAACTGTGCAGCTTTTCATTCAAGCTTTCGTAGGATGACTGTTGGCAAATTAAGCTTCGGGTTGGATTATATTTGAAATAGGAATATTCGCTGTTTCGCTGTTCATTTACGGAATCGTTGATTCTTGTTCGCAATCTCGCGTAACAGAGCTTAACCGCTGAAGGATGATTTTGGCCTCTCATTAAAATGCTGATGTTATTACTAGTTTTTTTAAGTTGTGCTTTCTACAACTTTGTCCTAGTTGTTTTATAAACCCCCAAGCTAGTTTATATCTTTGATCAAACTACTTTTTTATTTTAAGAAAGCGTTCTGTCTTTGAAAAGAATTTATATAGCCTACTATAAGTAGGTATAGTGTTATGTGCTAGCTTACAATTGATGTCGTTAGACAGGAAAATAATGTTGAAATAAACACAGGTGAAGTGGACGTGAACTTGAAACAGGGGTAGCAGTTAATGTCGTCTGATTTTCTTCAACAGTGGTGAACTCTGGATGTGAATGATGCTGTAAGTAAAATAGCAAGTATATGTCATTTAAGGGAGTGTCATTCGAGTTCCGTTGAGCATTTGAGTAATAATGTCGTGCTGTTGCCCTTTATGCAAACATATATTAGTTTACAAATCTTTTACGTTAGAGATCTAAGGCGAGATTTTTGATGATCGGTTGGGCCAATTTTAGACTATGACTAAATATACTGTGATTGCAAGCCAATGTTATCTTAAGGACACGTTAGAATTAAAGTTTGATGAGAAAAGGTTGTAGCAAACAAAATGCAGCAGGCTTTTAGTCACTGTGAATTTCAATATGTTCATTATATTTTGCCTGATGGTCCATCTGTTCTAAGAGTTGTCGTTTATAGGCAAAAACCAACGTTTGAAACACGATTCCCAGGAAGATCAGACGTCAAGTTCAATTCACTCATATTCTTAAATAATTTTTTAAATTTTTGTCTTCCATTATTAGTTTTTTTAACTTATCATAACTTGTACTAAGGTTTCTGATGGGATATCGTGTTGAAATAAGAATTCAAAAAAATAATTAAAAAAACGTGTGCTGAAATTACCTGAGCTTGGTCAAAAGATAGAATAAGTTCCACTCTTTGGTTTGATGAAAGCCTGAATAAACTGCCGGTGACTGCAATCTCGTAAAGGCTTTGAGATTTCTGGGAGTTTTTCAGTGAGATTTTCTTTTCAAAATGTATTTTGTTACAAGCATTAGCAGACTATATTATTTTAATAGGGGCTGGAGAATTGAAAAAAGATCGTTCGCTAGCTAAGGAGAATGTATGGTCTCAGAGACCGCAGAGCATAGTACGAAATGAAGGGGTAAAACGGTTTTGGGAGCTAAAAATGCTAAAACTAAGAGCAATGCGATTTTTTGGTATGGTTTTAAGTACATTTTGGAAACTGTTAAGGTGGAGTTAAGCCCCCTCAGTCTAGCTCCCCCGCATCGCGGTCCCTGAGAAAGCTTATTTGCTTTGTGTTTTTATGGACATTATACTTTCATCTGTAATTTGTGGTGGTTTGTTAATAATAAATATATTATTACAATAACAATTTTTTATTTTGATTAGTCATAATCTAAATTTTATTTGCCATTTTTGGTAATCTGAATTTATACCTTTCCTCATAAAGAACCTAGCTTGAGGCCTAGTTCTTGAAGTTCCTTATGATTTGCTTTCTTTTGATCGTATTTTGATACGAAAAATTCCTTAATAGTTCCTCAATTTAACTGCACATTAGGTGCCATGAAAATTGCACATAACACTTTGCTCTTAAGGCCGATTTCCACTAGGCGAATTCTTTCGCGCGAATCGATTAAATTTTCGTAGCGATAGAGTAGGACCGTGATCTACTTTCTGCGAATCGAATTTTTTCGCTGTGAAATCTGAGAAGATGACACCACGCATGCTCACATTCGCAAAAATTCGATTCGCGCGAAAGAATTCGCCTAGTGGAAATCAGCCTTTAATAACTGTCGCTAGATTTTCAATTTTCAACAACCTATAAAACCTTCATGACACACAATTTATGCGATTTTTAACTCAAAATAAATGGAGTCGGCTTCCTAATTCTTGGTTGTTTGCAGAGATAAGATATTATACCAGGCAACTACACCGGTTTTATGCTTGCGTTTTTCTGATTGGCCTATTCCGATCCACAACTGGGTATATATTTTCCATCACGTTCTTTTGTACCCTTATTCTGACTTTTATGCTCTGCGGTGTGTCAGACGAAAAAGCTTTAAGCCAATATGTTATAAAATGTTTGCTTTTTTCACAGCCATTTTAAAGTTCTGTACCGCCAAAAAACTGTTCAGATTAAATTTTCAAAGTTGAAATGTTCCTTGGGTATTTTGTCTTTCTTCTGCCAGCTTCACGTCATGAGCTAATAAAGGATTAATTTTCTGCAATCACGAATTGACTGAAGAATGACCACGAGTGCACAGGCTGTGAAACTCCCCCCCCCCCCGATTAGTGACATATTTAATTGGTATTGCACATCTGGAAGTATTTCATAGTGTTCTTTGAGGTTTTGTGGTCAAAATTAAAAATCCTTAAAATAGATTGCTTTTGTGACGTCACGAGAATATATAGAGTATGGGAATATGGCCACGTTTATTTTGATTTCACGTTCTTGCGTGAAATTTCACAAATGAAGGTTGTGCTGCTCTCGGGACGAGCGGAGGAAGAGAGTCCAGAATAGTTCGCGAGGATCCTCGTTGAAAACATAAGAATTTAGCTCCCTCTTCCATACAATCTTCTCGTTGTTTTCTGTTGAAGGTTTTTAGATTTTATTCATTAACGCAGTGAAACTATGAACACTAAAATGTTGTTTTTCATAAAGGCTTTACGTGTTTTGCAGCATTTTTTTGATGCCTATAGGAAATCACTAGATAAAAATTGGGAAGACCCTGCTTGACCCTGCGGGGACTACTTCCCACATGTTCATACATGGTATGTTCAATTTTTCTCTTTTTCTATTGAATCAAAGTATTGAATTTTAGACCTGTTAGAGATAAGTTGTGGCGTATTTTGAAGTTAAGCACTTCTTAAGACTAGAGTGCTGGCCTATCTTTCAATGGCGTGGATATATGCATGGATTTGTCCAAGGCAAAGCCTGCGATTTTGTAATTATCCTTGCCTACAGGCCATTTTCTGAAAAACATCAGCAGCTGTTTTCTATTTTTAATTTCAACCAAAATGTAAACCACAAGGTTTCCCTGAACATACTGTATCCTCAATCAAGATAAACACATTTACAGTCCCTAAGTACACACCTGATATACTGCATATTTCAACCAAGATTAACATTTTGAAACACTCCCATACTTCTTATCTTATATATTCTTTGTTGTTGTATGGTGTGGTAAGAATACACTGTAATTCTTTTTTAAAACCATTCCTCTCAGACACACAGCAATCTTTTGAAAAATTGGAGGGGTTTTATATAGCCAAAAGGGGGCACCTTCGTGAGCTGCAAACAATTGTTTTTTCTTTTTGTGTTTTTTCATCGACAATAAAATCAACTACAAAATGCAACTTCGGAGCTAAATATGCCGTCGGCGGTGGAAAGGACGTGGCGTCACCTGGTCCCACTACAAACGGCACTTACAATTTAACATTTTACTATTCAACGAAGATCAGAAAAATGTAAGAACATGTAGGATGAGAAGGCATCTAAGGGCCACAGTGAAAAGAATGGAAAAAAAACAATACAAGAAACTCTGCAACTCAGGACTTCTCTCTATAAGATATCACGTTACCTACTCACAAACACAGAGCAACGCCGCAGAAGAGAAAGAGATAGAGAGAGAAAGAGAGGGCGGTATTTAATAAGCATTTCCCTTTGCTTTGTGAAAAGAAGAGGAGACACATGCCCTCAGTGTCCCAGGCTTCTATCTCTATGCTTCCTCTGAAATGTTCAGCTATGACTGCTATTAATTAGGAAGTACTGATTGACAGGTGTTCTTTTATCTGGTATTTAGATTGAGATTTTAGTCTAATTCTCATTGACCACTAAATTTTTGCGTTTTTGAGAGTGTTGTCATATTTAGTTATGTAGTCAAGTAATGTTGTTATGAAGAGCAGTGAGACATATAGCCCTCTTTTGTGCTTATTGGTCCATCTTGCATGCATATTCTGTAGAAATCTTCTGAACACAGTAAGGAAAGTGCTTTTAGAGAGATTTTTAGTACGGCCATGTACAATTAGCTGCACTTCATAACATTGTTGGAAATATAGGTGTGTCTGATTGAATGTTCCTCGTCCTAATCTTTCCATTTCCTCTCATTTTTTACCAACTAATCATATAAAGCTTAGTGTGACGAATTATCCCAATACCGATGTCAAATCCCCATTCTGGTTTTTCGTCTGCCTTCCGCTGCTTTTAAATGAAAGTGACGCTATTAAAATTTCAGTCAATGAAAGATTTCGTCAAGTTTGCAGCGTTTCATGAATTTTATAATCAGTCAACTGAGAATTTTTTGAATTCATTACATTGCTCGTGAAATAGACGAAAAGCACTGCACAACCAAGCACTGAACAACCAAGCACTGATTGCCTTTCCTTGTTTATTATCTCTATCGAAAATTATTCACATGTAAATATAAAATAAGAAAAATGCAGAACAAGGAAATAAGTTTTGATTAAACCTCAAAGTTTTCTTGTTAAAGACTGATTGCTTTGATCTACTCAATATATTTTGCCTCCTCAACCTGCTGATTTTGTGAGAAGAGCTTTGCCTTTATTTTAAGAGTTATAAGGAGCATTCATTCAGCATGAATTAAGGCGACTGAATCGAATGAACCTGCGAGTGAATTGCATTAGAACAATAAATCATATACGTTCGCTGTGTCCAGTTTCATCTGGAGCAAACCACTGGGTAAATAGTGACCTGGTGTCTTGCTTCAAGTGCCTCATAAAACATTGAAAGACCAGTAACATTTATCTGAATACGTTTAGGCCTGGTTGAGCTCTAAGAGGTGACATCATTTAGTTCTGCGATGATGCAACTAGTGTAGTTTAAATGTAAGTCGTCAGATTAAAGCAACGGTCTTGCGTTGTTCCAGGCAGCGCTGTTCTAGGCAGCGCTGTTTTTGTCTTGGGACAAACTTCGCTTAAATTTAAGTTACAATGACAGACGGAGTAGCGGGCAAGTTGGCGTAAGTTATCCGCAATTTCCTAGTTTAGTCTTGGATAAATATTCAGTTCCGTATAAAGATAACAAAACTTAGCGTCTCTCTCAGAGGCTATACATCTCAGCATTGTGAAATAGTTTTTAGACTTACAATGTAGTTATTGAAAATCTATTCGCATGTTTTTTTTTCTTGATACGTGTTGATCTAAAGGATCCCGTGACGACAGTTTTCTAGAGGATCTTTAAGATTAAGCAGATTCAGTTGTAGCTGGAGATGTTTTCCACCGTTGCAAAAATGTTTTTAATTTTTTTATTATTTATAATAAATCAATGCTATCAGAAAGAAATTAATTTTAGAAATTAGAAAATAATTTTCTGGCTTAAAATTAATATAGAAGCATCATAAATATAAAGGACTTGTTGGTTTGGGTCTAGTACTATTTTGTTATACTATCGAAGGAGCCTGTGAAATAGGCCTATGTACGCTGTTTTGAAATATATTATCTGGTGATAAAAATTTGATATTTTACTGTGTGAATGACGCACCCCGTTGCTAATAGAAGCATACAACTCTACGACCGACCTTAAATACTCATTCTAGTTCTGCGGCCTTGAAAAGTCATTCTATTTTTATCGATATAAACTATACCCTTCTTGCTCCAAGTCTTTCTTCATCCGAGAATGGAAAAATGAAATTCTCAAACCCATGACTTAGTGTATTTTTTTTAATTTAGCGCTTTGAAGATGGACAAAAAGAGCTGTCCTGGCTTTAAAGATGGTGATATTCCGTTTCTGTGCGTCGTTTGCGGTGACAGCGCGTCTGGATATCATTACGGCGTTCCGGCCTGTGAAGGATGCAAAGCCTTTTTCAAGCGAAGTCTTCAGGCCACGGATCTCAACTATCGATGCCCGGGTTCCAATAATTGCAAGATCGATAAAATGAGCCGCAAGTGTTGCCAGGCATGCAGATTAAGAAAATGCAACGAAGTTGGCATGTCCAAAGAATGTAAGTTTGTTTACAATCCAGATGTTTTCAACATTTCTTTGCTTTAGGTCTTCTCTGTCACCACAGGAAACGAGGTTTCAGTTTTACGTCGATGATTACATTCAGTGTAAACAATATTCAATAAGCAATATTGATCAATATGAAAGGAGTTGAGAATGCAAATCAAAGCATTGTGCTAAGATTGTTGGCTAGTAGATACTTATCCCTGGCCACTGCTTAGAAAGTCTTCAACCTATTACATTGTTTACTTTGTAAATCTTTGCCACTTTTTGCAACGTCAGTGTTATGCAATGATTTGACAAGGACAGCCTTTTTTCGTCGTTATTGGCAATTCAATCATTGCTGTTGTTGCTGTTGTTGTTGTTGCTGTAATTTTGTGTCAATTTGTGACCTCCAATAAAAAACTCTTTGAAGTTTTTAGAAGTTTTGTTTTTTTGTCAATTTTGAATCAAGTTATTTTGGCATTTCAAGATGCAGATATTGCTTCGTATAATTTTGCTGGAACGTGCCAATATTTGCAATGGGGTCCTATTTTCCCCTTTTTAACGTTTCTTATTCTCTTCCAAGCTCCTTCTGAGTGGCATGGGTTTAAATATCTAACCTCTGCATTGCAACGGTATTTTTTAATGAACGTGCAAGTATCAATGCCTACGTTTTGATGCAACACATAAACCTTTAAATCTAGCAAATGTACACGCTAGTAGATGATACCCCGTAATTGCAAGCTCTCTTTACGTTAATGGTCTCGTTTCATGAAGCAAACATAAGCCGCTTTTTTATATTAAAGCTACAATTAGGTCTCGTTCAATTATCTAATACTATCTCGAAAACCATGCTACCATCGGCTCTTTCTGTGCGGCTAAAGCCAAACCATTCAAATAAGATTATGATGCAAAAAGCCTATCTTTCATCATTTTTGTCCTTGAATAGTTTCGTCATTTACTGCGGAATCCTTTGCTTCGCTACTCAATTGCCGTATGGTTTTGCCAATCATTTGTGGGCAGACTTCCGATCGCAGATCTGTATGAAAATGCAAATCGCAAGTGTATTGATCTGAGTGAATAGATAATCGGTCGGAATTAGCCATGTTTACTAAAATTGTATACAAAGAAATGGGCCCTTTTCAAATTATTCGACGTTCATAACCCAGAGTTGAGTGAATTTTGCAGTAATGTTGTCTTGTGAAATACCTGTGCAGTTAGCATGGATCAAAGGTTTTGCGAAATTTTATGAAAATAAGAACTTCTTTTTATTTTGTGTTTTATTCTTATGATTAACGCCGAAACGATCAAAAAGACGATAATCTTGGCGTATTTTGAACAGGACATAATACGTTATCCTGAAAACCATGAAAAGACTCAAGGAAAGCTTAGCTGAAACTGTTGTAGATGTTCAAGGCGGTAGTGTTCAATCTTAGCACTTAAACAATGCACCCGCTGTGATGTCGCATGTCACCCGTTGATTCCTTTGAAATTTGTTATTCATGTCAGACTCGCGTATTATAATCATTGAAAACACACGCAGATAATGTAAAGCCCGAGTTTCTGTCAATTTTTACTTTGTTTTAAGTTTTTTAAGCATTGCTGGGTCATCAAGGTCATGCATGGTAATTTTCATGAAGCGAGAAGGAGAAATCCTACAATAAAAAGAGACTCTCAGAGCAAAAAATATAACATAAGTCTCATCAGAGACTGTTCGGAGAGACAATTCTGCTAATAAGTTATTTAAATTTTCTCAATTTAAAGAGGTTGTTTTGTGTTTAAATTTAAATTTTTTCCCGATATTTTGAGAAGAATCATCTGCTTGACCTGTAAAATGTAGCAAGAAACGACAAGAGAACTTGCTAAAAGGCTCTTTTGCGCTATCTTAATGCAGAAAGTATCAAGGTGCTACGGAAGCAGCACCCTTTCAGTCAAACTTATCACGGGCTACCTTTGTTTGATTCCATTTATCGTGGTAGCTGTAATCGATATAACAAAAATCATTTCATATGTGCTTTTCATCAAGAGAGTTTAGAGCACCGACAGAGAGTTAAGCATGGAGAAAGTAAGTGATAAAGAACGACCTAAGTATGGTCTCCGGATTTCATTTCTGGGTCTAACCTGCGATCTGTTCGGATTCATCTTATCAACATCGAGGCTGAATATCAGACAAACCTTTTTAAATATTTGACGTTACAAACATCTTTGCAAGAGGCACCTGTTTTAAGTTTCATCATTAATGCTGATTTCAGTTAGAACTTGGCGCGTAGAAGATACTCGATAAGAACGCTTTCGGCTGGTTCAAAAGAGAATTGGACCGAGGAAAGATCCTTGTGAAACATCGGAATGAACTTTTCAAATCGGATGGTAAAATCCTTATAACCTGTTAATTTAAGCGTTTCGAGAACGTAATTTTTACAGTTTTGAAACTTTCCTAGCGTTTTACCGCTCTGACAATCTTCGGTAAACCGATAAAGTGAAGCAGAATTAAAAAATCATATATTTCATTGCAAAAGTCGTGTATAGTTATTTTTTATTCATAAATCCCTATCAGTTTTACAAGAAGTATGATATAAATGTTAGGGAAATAAGCCCCACGAAATTAATATTGTATGCTAAATTGTCAACCTTACAATTGCCGCGCTCCATTTATATTTCCTAATGTCGATCGATAATCACGATTATATATCTACTCCCCTGCTGTACAATTTCCCTCCTCTATATGAGTCCTGACATGTGATTAAGCCATTTAAGAGAGTGTTCAGTGTTCACGCGCCGAGAAACACTGACCCCGGGGGCAAATTTTGTCATGCGGGCCCCCTTTTACGGTTGGCGAACCTAATTGTATCCTAATTTTAGGGCATCACAACGGAACAGTTTAACTAGGGGGCAGAGAAATGTTAAGCAGGCTTAACTTGTGATTCTATTTTGAATTATTTGTCTCCTGTTTCATTAAGCCTTATGTGTATTGACCGCGTCAGCAAACTGAATATGGGCTGTTAATGAAAAAAGGAGATATTCTCAACAGGGTTTTTTAGAGCAGAAACAGTATCGATTCGCCAGTTCGTGAATAGGCTACAAGAGAAGATAGAATATGTCCTAATGGGCCTAATATACTACAGCTACCGAAAAATTCTGCGCGATTTCTCTTTTCAAGTATCGTGCTCCAAAAAGAGTTGCAGAACGGTCAATTTGTAGTCCAAAATGACTGCTTGAGTTGGAGTCCTTTCTTTTTTTTCTCTTTTTCGTTTCCCTTGTCGTTTTCTTTTTGTTCTTTCAATGACAAAAGTTTAAACATTTTGGTAAGATAAAAAAGGATGGGAAAGCACTGGCAGCTTGAGAAGCTGTTTGACGGGGCCTTATGCTAATTTCAGCATTTTATAAGACACTTCTTCCGATACGCTTCACCTCAAGTAATTATCCACTAATTTTGCTAATCCACATGCTTTTCATGAATCTCCAAGATGCGCTTAAACGGCAAGATCCACACGCATGCGCTTAAGCTCTCTTCATAGCCTTTCGAGCACTATCGTTTTCAAGCGAAAATTTGGCCTAATGCTTCTCTACATAGTTGATAACCGCATTTAATTCGTACAAGAACAGTGGTAATATTCATTTTGACTACAAGTTCCTTGCGATAATGTAATTTGATTAATCGGATTTTCATACACGAGGAATTATCCTTGCCTTTGGTCAACAAAGGAAACCCATTTGGCGCGAAGTCGATGGAGGAAATGCCCTGTGACTGTATCTAACATTATTTCAATAACAAAGTGCGTGCATTACGGATGGTTTTTATCAAGGCTTATAACACAGTTGGCCAAAATCCGATTTATTTAATTCGCCGGTGAATTTAAAAACGCAAGAAGATCAAGGCTGCATTTGAGTTAACGATAAATGGGCAGGTGTAGAATTTGCAAGTCTTCACAAAACAAAGCAATTAAATGATGAAAACATTTGTAGTTTGGGTGCTTCAAGACTGAATTTGTCTGAGAATGGCTTTATGGTATGCTTTGCTTCATTATCTGATGGTCACATCAATTAATTGAATACAACATGTCTTGCAAAAAGTTGAGTTTGTTTATGTTTTTTTCTGAGCGATAATGATTAAAATAAATTCGTATTTTTGAATACAGTCTCCGCGACATTTTGTGTGCAGATTTCAAAGACATAACGTCTAAATAACGACGTGTTAGAGTTTATAAATTTGGTTAAACTAATTAATTTATAAAAAGCCAATGAATTTGCCGATGAATTTTATTCGTAGTTTATTTAAAATATGCTGCCTTTTGACCAAAAGTAGCCATGAGCTGGCAAGATTTTGTTGTTGAAGTAAAAAAGGAGTGAACATGTAGCCTCGTTCTGTTACATGCAAGCTTATAAACATCCTGCAAGGTGTGACTGCTAGGGAGTTTCGTAAATATATGACAAAAATTGTTTTTGCTTTTAAAAACATTCAAAGGATAATGGAACAACCTAATAACAAGAATTAAGAGATTTTGCAGTCTTCTTTCAAGAAGATCAAGCAAGACATGGTACTGTACGTTGCGATAAAGTTCAATGCAACTTCACCTTTCGTGTCATGTTAGAAGTTGTTTGCAGCTTGCTTTACACCAGAACACATTATATAGGCAATATGTCCCGTTATCCAACCATTCACGTAATAGGCTCTTTGGCACAATCGCTAAGAATTAGTCCGGTGTTTGTGACAGGTAGATGTAACAATAAAGTGGAGGAGTGATGACGTCACTAAGATCTATTCTCAGAATTTTAGATATCTATTTTCAGAATCTTAGAATACTGACTCCATATCCTAAAAGAACACTACAAAGTACAAAATTAGTTCAATCTGTTGCGGATCCACTGAGATAACGCCACATAAACACGGACTTTTTCCCTATCTTTCTTGATTTGTGCTTTGATGCCGAATCACTGTAATTTGATCCTGGTTTTAACAGCTGATAGCAAATCTAATGTCTTTCACTGACCATATCTCAGTCAATTTTAAACAGATTCAACTAATTTCCATATTTAGAGATATTTCGTGGTTTTCTTTCAGGTTAGGAGTCAGAATTTTTAAATTCTAAAAATATATTTTTATAACGCCACACTCCTGCATTCTACTTTATAATACTACCAATCAGAATTTAGGCGGCTACAAATATTCGTTTGAAAATAATGCGTCCAGAGCTGTATCTGATGACTTAAAAGAGCCAGTGTTTTCTTCACAGCTTTTTGTTGCACACAGAATCAGGTATCTTTGTCAATGGTCCAATTCTTTTAGTTCTAGGAAACAAGAAAATAAAAAAGCCATCAAGAAAAAGTAAGTCAAAAAAACAGAAGTTTGATGACGATGAGGATAGAAAAATTGTGGAACCGACAAGCACTCAAGATGCCGAGCTGGAGAAATTGATAAAAATTTTAGCTACACTACATGATCAAGAAAGGCCAATGCTAACAACGGAAGTGACTGGTGAAGACTTAAAGCCGACGACTTCAAATCTATTAGATATTGTAGGCAAACAACTAGTAGCCGCTATAGACTGGGCAAAAGGGCTCCCTGGCTATGAGACGTTGACACTAAATGATCAAGCGATTCTTCTACAAGCGGGGTGGATTGAGATGCTCTTGCTCAACTGGACTTTTTACTCCTTGTCACACAAAAACAAAACCCAATTTTCTGCCAATCTTATCGTCTGTGAAACATTGGCAACTGCGTTTGGTTTGGAAACAGTCCATACTCAGTTATCCTCTCTTATTACAAGGGTTCAGGGCTATGGCATTGACGAGGTAGAGTTCTTGTGCCTCAAAGCAATTGGGTTACTAAACGCAGGTGAGTCTATTTCTGCTTGAATTTAAAAGCCCAGACTTGGTGCTGACTAAACTGACGACTTTTGTCACACATTTCTTTTGCTATGGCTAAATTTATCGATTTTTTAGTCAACACAACCCAACTAAGGCAGGTAGCAACAGACATAACGCCATTCGACCAAGGCCTGTTCATGCCGTTGGGACTGCAAGTTTAAAAACTATCATCGTTCTTTACTTTCTCATCTGTTTTCTTCTTCGTGTTCTGTTTTTCTGCTTTTCAGAATTTTTCAGGGTTCAGGCTCCGTCAGTTCTACTTACATAGTACTGCCCTCTTTTCAGCCTTTCAATTTAGTTTTGATTTTAAGCTGAAATGTGTTTGAAAATTTATATCAAAACTAAAATGCAACGGGTTCAGGAAATTGACCTGTCAAATCAACCTGGATTATGAATAGTCATGAACTATTGCAAAACTCAATTCAAAGAACATTTTGCTGATTCAGTTTGCGCCAGATTTCCTTTTTGTAGTCGCATTAACAATTTGCAAAGCAACTACTAACTTACAACATTGATACCACCTGGGGTAAGATAGTAAATATCCAACCGAAGGTCATCTAATGAAGAAATATAAGATATACAAGAGAAAAAAATACATGATACCGTAGATACAAGTGCACTGTTCTTTCCAATGGAATTCAAAACAGTCGAACAAACGAGAATATGTTCAATGTATTGGCAGAAAAATAATTTTGAGGATCATGGGTCGGAATTCGGGGAATTGGTGTGGGCTGTAAATTAACTAAAACTGACATTCAAACCTAATACAAAACGAAAGTCATATCGTTTTTTATGAACCACACTTGGAATTCATCAGAGCCATGTCAACGAACAATTCGGAATGATTGCAGATTTTAACTCTCATTTTCACAATTGCAAATTGTTGCTATCTTTCGGAGGCCTGATGTGATTAACCCGTAGCTTCACCGGACTCCTTTTAACGCCATGGAAAATTGAACAATTTTGCAATCCAAGTTTTTTGGAGCTAAATGAATCCATGCTTTCCACTTCCCCGACAATTTCTTTTGTATCAGAATGCGGGGTTTAATATAAGTTTGATCAGTTAAGTGAAATTATATATTTGAAAAGTGTGCTAATTAGCTTTGTCACCACAGACCACCATTGTTAACCCATTTTGTGTTTCTGATCAAGCAAAACTGAAATGGGCCCTGGGTCATTGGAACTGACGTAAGATTCTGCTCGTCTCCTCGTGCAATTTGATCACTGAGACTTCAATCCCACTGCGAAGAACAGCGGATGACCATAATATTTCACATCTAAATAAGCAAAATGGATGACCAGTATCCACCTTAAGAACTGAGGTTCAGAGAGTCGTTTTTGTCTATCATGGTTTTACTGCGTATCCAGCTGAATCGATTTGTCTAATAAATAACCTTTTAGTATACATACTGTCCTGTTCCCTCTGCCTTCACAAAACTGTCCTTCTCGGTATGTTTTCTTATGATTCAACCAAACATGAATCTTTCTTCTTCAAATGCTTTTCAATGTCTGAATTTCATACTTGAAGAGCTTCTACATCACAGTACACGAAGATCATCTCGTTATGATTGGCTCAACTCAATTTTACTACTCACCGGCGAATTTCAATACTGAATTTAATTTTGCTATCATCTTTGAACTTTTCCTTTCATCTTTAACGCATTCTTCACAAACGCCCTCTTGGTGAGCAATTGAAAGATGTAGTTATGATATTGAATTTTTCTTTCAAAATTTATGCTGTCACAACTTTTATTTTTACTATTCATTGTCAGATATATTGTCAAAAGATTGTCAAAAGAGAAAACTATTAGGCTTGACACTATTTTTATGTTTCGTGCTTAAAATGTGATTTGTTTACTTTCTCAAATTTAGTACACGACCTGTGTCTACCTTTTAAGAACCTTCTGCCGAAAAGACTTGTAACAAAACGAGAAAATTAAAATCCAAAGTTTTGAATGCAGCTTTAATTGTTTACCTCCTCCCTTTATAGTTGTTCAACCTATCGATAGCATGATTGCAATTTCGTCTTTTGAGTTTATCGTAGCAAGAGGTTTCTATATTTGAGTGCTTGATATTTGGTGAATATATAGAATTTTAATTTGGTTTTGTTTTGTTTATATTGCATGTGCACGTTGTGTATCCCACAGCTAGGCCCTGGCATGTCCGCCATTACACTGTAGCACTTCAAACTCGTGTTTCTTAGCCCATGCAGAAACGCCTTTCCATACAGAAACGCATATGACACCGGCCCCTGGTTTTTACCTTGATAGTTCTGCAGGTCAGTGTTGTGTTTTTCAATTAGTTTTGTTTTTGCAGATTCTCGAGGCCTAACTGGCTCAAGTAAAGTACAGGAGCTCGTAAAGAAATTCAGCTCGGCCCTGAATTACCATATATCGTCACACCACCCTGATCAACCGCAGAAATTTGCAAAGATTATTCTCATATTGCCGCAGTTGAAGTGCGTAGTGAACAACGTAATAGAATATTTTTATCGGGTAAAGCTTTCTGGCGAAGCCCAGTTGTCAGAATTATTGGTAGAGATGCTAGAAGCAAAGTCCAGATTATGAATATAAACGTAGTTTTGCATTTAAGTAGAGTGGAAATAATCGCTTTTGAAAACTATCGAAGATAGTAGAGATTTATTTTTAACGTAATTTTAATAGGAATTAGGCTCAATTTATTTTGGTCATTTCGCGTTGTACGTGGTGTTGATACGCAGTGCTGCCCAAGTAGCAACTCTGTGTAATTTTTGTAGCAAATGTTACGAGAAGCATTGTTTTGAAGTGCTTCGTAGGTCATGTTATATCATTTATCATTACAACCAAACTTCGATATCAATCAAACTTAAACCGATTGGTTAGGTGGCGATGTCCGCAAAATCTATTTTTAGAATTTTCATATTTTGACTAGAAAACATTTCTCAAATTGAGCAAAATCGCTATTTAAAGGAATTTGACAGAGGCAAAAATGGCTTAACTGTCTGTCAATCACTATAAGCCAATCAATAGGCATGTGAGTGATATCACGTTCACTGATTGGCCAATTGTTAATTGAAGCAACCTTATTATCAGTTGACTGGCTTTAAATATGTCGCAAATTGGATGAGGATAGCAAATGACAGAGCTTAGTTTTGCTAATGGACAACTGTTGTTTTAGACTTGGTGGATTTTAGAATAGAATCAATTATTTGATGAGGAAGGAGCCATTGCCCATGTGACCATATATGTGCTAGTTTGTAACGGATTTAACTGATTTTGCAAATCCAGAAATATTTCTTGGTGTTCTTAGGAGTAAACAATTAAAATGCAAAAAATCTAAAAATACATTTTGTGACCTTATCACTTAAGCATAAACCACAATTTTGGGGAAAGTGAAGTCTGTCGCCGGGTTAGCCGGGTTAGCAATCCTCCGTCCTTGCAATCGTCAATAAGCAGAACATCAGTGCGCAAACCCCCGTCCCTGTAAACCAAGGTGCATCCGCATGCCATCATTTTTGCGCATTCTCTTTGACTGGAAAACGGGGGTCGATAGCTCGACAGCTGTACACACACTGAAAGAGCTTTTGCTGCAACGAATCATCGAAGATGCTGAAAAAATGTATCACCTTGAGTCTACTTTAACATAGGGGCAATCGCTTTTGAAACAATATACTGTTATATTGTGCATGTCTTTATAGGCTATATATTAGGATTTTAAACAACTTTTAGGTACAAGTATCGGCTACCTGTTTTAGATTATTCTTGGCCAAATGAAAGACTGCCGTGCTTCCTCTTGCAAATATATTTTCTATTATATAAAGACAACTTTCCTTTTCGCCCCAATCATCCTTCAACAGCAAAAGATGTGAGTAATTAAAAGAAACTTTACTTATCTGCACATTTGCTAAAGTTATGCCCATTATTCGATTTGCAAACCTTAAAAGTAGCTAGGTGTCCGCTAGAAAGTCCGCTAGAAAGTCCGCTAGAAAGTCCGCTAGAAAGTCCGCTAGAAAGTCCGCTAGAAAGTTCTACGATTGTATGCGAACAAACGGAAACTAGCAGTTTGTTTCCAATTAGTTCCTCTCGCTCATATCCCTCTCGCCCTTCTACCTTGGTACTTTCATTTCATATTCGTTATCTCAAAACCCTAGCTGGTATATAAAAAAAACATTTTCATCGATTGTGCTTGAAGGGTAATCGTCTCACCCAGTGATAAGGTGTCAATGCCATAAAACTGTATTTTATAAGATCAATTGATATTTTAGCATCGTTTTCTTTCTAGTGTTATACTTTGTATGGTAAATAAGGGCATTGGAAGGTTGATAAGAGCTCGTTTTTCGTCTTAGATTGGTCACCTGCATGTCACAATCAACCTTTTGTTGTAACAAATGTCATTACCACTATCGCACTGTCTTCTTTATTTTCATTTTTTATATAGAGATGTCACTATCCCTTTGTTTATTACCCCATTTTCGCTCTTTTTTCTAACCGGCTACCACTTCATGGTGATACTCCGCTGACTAGATATCATGAAAATTATATAGATATCTTCGCAATACCATACTGATCATACTGACACTTTTGAGCTTTTCTTTTTGTCCAGTTGATAACACGTGCCAACGGCTAGGCAATATTTGCCCAATGGTAATAAGCAGTGTTTTTTCTTTCGTGTATTTTTAAAGTCACGAAGTTTGTTAATCGCCCCTTGCAAAAATTATTTTTATCTGCAGAAATGTTACATCCTCTACTAGAAAGTGTGATCTTTCTCTCTTCCTTCTTCAAACTTATCAGTCAATAATTACTTAACAGTTTCATTATCTTAAATTTGTGTTTACACGCTTCAGTGTTGGAGAACACAAAAATTTGTGATTTTGGTAAGCCTATAGCTTTCGTTCTTGAAGTATGACCTTTTCCACTAAAACTGATTTTTTTTAGCAAGAACCAACCTGCAATAGAGCGGAGAATAACCCAGGACGGTTATATGGCCTTTTTAGAGGACTTTAAGCCAGCTTTTTACAAAAAAGCTGGCTTAAAGAGGACGAGAGTGAAATGAAAGACGACTTTGAAATCGAGGATGAGTAAAAAATTACCTTTACAAAATCCTCCTCTGATTAAGACTACAAGCTTGGAGAAAAGTTCAGGCTGCAATAGTTAAAAGAAAAGTTAAGGCTTTAAATGAATTTGGGAGTGGATTAGGACAATTTTCTGGCTTATTTAATGAATAATTATTCATGTTTTGGAAGAAAAAATTCTAGGTGAAAAGTCGGAAATTTTGGCAAGGCTATAACCTTACCCATTTTGACCAAAATTATCATCTAATTAAACTACTAGTTCAAAGAAAAGTTAAGGCTTTAAAAGAAATTGGGAGTGAATTAGGACAATTTTCTGGCTTATTTAATGAATAATTGTTCATCTTTTGGAAGAAAAAATTCTAGGTGAAAAGTCGGAAATTTTGGCAAGGCTATAACCTTACCCACTTTTACCAAAACTTTTATCTAATTAAACTACTAGTTAAAAGAAAAGTTAAGGCTGGAAAATAGTTAAGAGTGGATTAGGACAATTTTATGGCTTATTTAATGAATAATTATCCATCTTTTGGAAGAAAAAATTCTTGGACAAAAGTTGGAAGTTTTGGCAAGGCTATAACCTTACCCATTTTAACCAAAATTTTCATCTAATTAAACTACTAGTTCAAAGATGAGTTAAGGCTTTAAAAGAAGTTGGGAGTGGATTAGCACAATTTTATGGCTTATTTAATAAATAATTATTCATCTTTTGGAAGAAAAAATTCTAGGTGAAAAGTCGGAAATTTTGGCAAGGCTATAACCTTACCCACTTTTACCAAAACTTTTATCTAATTAAACTACTAGTTAAAAGAAAAGTTAAGGCTGGAAATTAGTTAAGAGTGGATTAGGACAATTTTATGGCTTATTTAATGAATAATTATCCATCTTTTGGAAGAAAAAATTATTGGACAAGAGTCGGAAAAATTTTGGCAAGGCTATAACCTTACCCATTTTAACCAAAATTTTCATCTAATTAAACTACTAGTTCAAAGAAGAGTTAAGGCTTTAAAAGAAGTTGGGAGTGGATTAGCACAATTTTATGGCTTATTTAATAAATAATTATTCATCTTTTGGAAGAAAAAATTCTAGGTGAAAAGTCGGAAATTTTTGCAAGGCTATAACCTTAGCCACTTTTACCAAAACTTTCATCTAATTAAACTACTAGTTAAAAGAAAAGTTAAGGCTTTAAAAGAAATTGGGAGTGGCTTAGGACAATTTTCTGGCTTATTTAATGAATAATTATTCATCTTTTGGAAGAAAAAATTCTAGGTGAAAAGTCGGAAATTTTGGCAAGGCTATAACCTTACCCACTTTTACCAAAACTTTCATCTAATTAAACTACTAGCCGAAAGAAAAGTTCCGGCTGCATAGTAGTTAAGAGTGGATTAGGACAATTTTATAGCTTATTTAATGAATAATTATCCATCTTTTGGAAGAAAAAATTCTTGGACAAAAGTCGGAAGTTTTGGCAAGGCTATAACCTTACCCATTTTGACCAAAATTTTCATCTAATTAAACTAATAGTTAAATGAAAAGTTCCGGCTGCAAAGTAGTTAAGAGTGGATTAGGACAATTTTATGGCTTATTTAATGAATAATTATCCATCTTTTGGAAGAAAAAATTCTTGGACAAAAGTCGGAAGTTTTGGCAAGGCTATAACCTTACCCATTTTAACCAAAATTTTCATCTAATTAAACTACTAGTTCAAAGAAGAGTTAAGGCTTTAAAAGAAAATGGGAGTGGATTAGGACAATTTTATGGCCTTTTTAATAAATAATTATTCATCTTTTGGAAGAAAAAATTCTAGGAAAAAGTCGGAAATTTTTGCAAGGCTATAACCTTACCATTTTTACCAAAATTTCATCTAATTAAACTACTAGTTCAAAGAAAAGTTAAGGCTTTAAAAGAAATTGGGAGTGGATTAGGACAATTTTCTGGCTTATTTAATGAATAATTATTCATCTTTTGGAAGAAAAAATTCTTGGTCGAAAGTCAGAAATTTTGGCAAGGCTATAACCTTACCCATTTTTACCAAAATTTTAATCTAATTAAACTACTAGTTCAAAGAAGAGTTAAGGCTTTAAAAGAAGTTGGGAGTGGATTAGGACAATTTTCTGGCTTATTTAATGAATAATTAATTATCTTTTGGAAGAAAAAATTCTTGGTCGAAAGTAAGAAATTTTGGCAAGGCTATAACCTTACCCATTTTTACCAAAAATCTCTTCTAATTAAACTTCTAGATCAAAGAAAAGCTAAGGCTTTAAAAGAAATTGGGAGTGGATTAGGACAATTTTCTGGCATATTTCATGAATAATTATTCATCTTTTGGAAGAAAAAATTCTAGGTCTAAAGTCGGAAATTTTGGCAAGGCTATAACCTTACCCATTTTTACCAAAAATCTCTTCTAATTAAACTTCTAGATCAAAGAAAAGTTAAGGCTTTAAAAGAAGTTTGGAGTGGATTAGCACAATTTTATGGCTTATTTAATAAATAATTATTCATCTTTTGGAAGAAAAAATTCTAGGTGAAAAGTCGGAAATTTTTGCAAGGCTATAACCTTACCCATTTTGACCAAAATTATCATCTAATTAAACTACTAGTTCAAAGAAAAGTTAAGGCTTTAAAAGAAATTGGGAGTGAATTAGGACAATTTTATGGCTTATTTCATGAATAATTATCCATCTTTTGGAAGAAAAAATTCTTGGACAAAAGTCGGAAGTTTTGGCAAGGCTATAACCTTACCCATTTTAACCAAAATTTTCATCTAATTAAACTACTAGTTCAAAGAAGAGTTAAGGCTTTAAAAGAAAATGGGAGTGGATTAGGACAATTTTATGGCCTTTTTAATAAATAATTATTCATCTTTTGGAAGAAAAAATTCTAGGTGAAGAGTCGGAAATTTTTGCAAGGCTATAACCTTACCCATTTTGACCAAAATTATCATCTAATTAAACTACTAGTTCAAAGAAGAGTTAAGACTTTAAAAGAAGTTGGGAGTGGATTAGGAGAATTTTATGGCTTATTGAATGAAAAATTATCCATCATTTAGAAGAAAAAATTCTTGGACAAAAGTCGGAAATTTTGGCAAGGCTATAACCTTACCCACTTTTACCAAAACTTTCATCTAATTAAACTACTAGTTAAAAGAAAAGTTAAGGCTGGAAAAGTTAAGAGTGGATTAGGACAATTTTATGGCTTATTTAATGAATAATTATTCATCTTTTGGAAGAAAAAATTCTAGGTGAAAAGTCGGAAATTTTGGCAAGGCTATAACCTTACCCACTTTAACCAAAACTTTCATCTAATTAAACTACTAGCCGAAAGAAAAGTTCCGGCTGCATAG